AGTCAAAAATTTTCAAAAATTTCTCAAAACTCGTCCCCATCAAGGCTTTGGACAAGAATTGTCTAAAATTACTTTAATTTTGTCCATAATGCTAAAAATAAATGTCAAAATGGAGTCAAAATTGTGGAACCTGATTTGAATTCTGAAATCCGGTCAAACTGGTCCCAAAGGTTGTTGAAAATGACTCAAATTTAGTCTGAAACAAGTTTAAAAAATTGTCAAAAATGGCTTGAATTTGGTGAAAAATTACTCAGTGCTGATCCAAAACAGGCTAACGAGCGAATTTATCCACAAATGACTCCAAATGTGTCCAGAATGACTAAAAACTTGTCACAAATGATTAAAAAACCTCAACAAAATAACTTAGAACCGATCCAAAAGAGGCTATAAATGATCCAAAATAAGCTATAAATCATCCAAAACAGGCTATAAATGATCCAAGCCGACTGAACATTGCTGATGAATGTGAAGCGTGTGTGAAGGAATCAGTGGACTCGTCAGAAATAAAGGTTGATGGACGACGGATTGAAGAAATCAAACATTAAAAGGACTTTTGCCTGAATTTTAATATATTAAATCTAAATGTTTTTAATTTGACATCAGAGCAAACACTCTACTGCTCAGCTTGGAAGTAATCTGATTACTGGAAGGTGAAACACTTCTCTTGTGCCGTACATCATCCTGTCTCTATTCTATGAGTCAGACTAACTTATGACTGTAACGTTTTCCGTGCAGGAGGTTCGTGGAGGACGAAGGCCAGGTGAAGTGTGAGTTCATGCTCGGCTCGGTGGCCAAGCGGGTTTGTCTGGTCTGCGGCGACGTGGCCTCGGGTTACCACTACGGCGTGGCCTCCTGTGAAGCCTGCAAGGCCTTCTTCAAGAGGACCATCCAAGGTAACACGCATGTAGAGAAAGAACACGTATGAAAGTGGCTCAGGAGCAGGCTGGGCTTTATTCACAGCAGCACGGTTTACTGTGCGTCTTCCTGCATCACATAAACCTGTTTTACAAGCAGACGCGCCGTTTGTTTTGGTACAAACAACCGAGATCAGTGGTTTCCTGCTTCACAGCCTGCAGGAGGCTTTAAATAAAGATCTGTTTGCAAACAGCGATATGCAGCTAAACTTACGTGCTGTGTACAGTCAACATGTTTGGGCGTTTTGGAAGGAGCTGGCAGCCCGCTGTGGGTGAGAGCAGAGGGCGAGCTGCAGCGGCTGTCGCATCAAACGGCGAAATCTGATGTCTGGCTCATCAGATGCTTCCTGTTTGTGATGGAGGACGGCAGCTGAGAGCGGCTGGCCCGACGCCATCGGGATTAACAGGAGCTCTGGCCGGCGGATAGGTGTGCTTGTATCTCAGCGCACGAGCTGTGAGCGCCGCGGCCGAAGCTAACGTCTCAGAAATAAGCACGATCTGAAACTCAGCCTAGAAACGAATTCACGAGACTCGGGAGCGCGTTCAAGGTCATCGAGGTCAAAACTACAAATTAACGGTCGGCTGGTTTACTTCATACCACGACCGACACCAACATCGGTAATAAAGACAGTCGATAACTGATAGATGTATATTTAATTTGAAAATGGAACTCCAACACAAAACTTTAATTTATTTGTTTAGTTTTTTAGTTTGTTTTACTAATATTTAGACTTCTGAACCCGCTCATGAGTTCAAAAGGCATCTTATCTTTAAAAGAATCCCCAAAATTCCACTTTTTTTCAACCATAAACTGTAAAAGCAGCAAGAATTGACCGTTTTGTTTTTTCATGTGTGATAGACATGAAAATTAATCAAGTTTAAGCTTAAAACTGCAATATTTCATCTAACATTAGCATTAAAGACGGCCGATAACTGATATTTAGATGTGTATTTGTTGGAAAATGGAACTCCAACACAAAACTTTAGTCTAGTTAGGGTTTTTTTTTGTTGTTTTTTTAACATATGTTCAGACCTCTGAACCCAAGAACCCGCTCATGAGTTTGAACGGCATCTTATCTTCAAGATAATCCCAAAAATTCCACTTTTTTTCAGCCAGAAGCTGTAAAAGCAGAAAGAATTGACAGTTTTAAAATGTTGTTTCATGTGTGACGGACACGAAAATGAACCACATTTAAGCGTAAAATCGCAGCGTTTCATTGAAATCACACGTCTCATTTAAAAATTCTGTGCAAATATACTGTTTTTATTAACCAGATTCTGCAAAAAATAAACGTTCTGTGACCTTTGGTGCAACAGTGGAGCTCTTAGTGACTCAGCTGTGACCTACAGTCGGAGGAGAAAACTTCTGAGCAGAGTTTAAATTAATTTTTAGTAAAAAAATAAATAGTTAAATAGCTATAGTTTGTGGAGAAAACTCCTTTTTTTTCCAGTGTTGGTAACAGCTGTGGACACTTGGGATGCCAATTTTTTTGCAAGATAAATTATCAAAGAAATTCAACTTTAATTATTTTTATTTAGATTTCTTCTATCCTGTGTCGTCCTGACAGAAGACGTCTCTGAGTTCTCTCTCCTCCGTCATGTTGTTCTGGTTCCACGGGATCTGAAATTGCAGTGAAAAACGAACCCGCAGTGAAGAAACCTGAGACAGGAGTGAACTGTTTGGAGTTCAGAGAGTTAATTAAAAGTGTTTATTTGCTGCCGTTCGTGTAAATAATCAGAGAGTGTTTACAGACGAAACAGCGCAGCGATAAATTCGGCGTTTTGTCGGGAATCAGGAAAAGGAAAAGAGCAGTACCGATTACTGGAAAAATGGTCGGTCAGATCTAAAACAGAAAACCTGACGTGGAGTTTAAAGACTTTACACAGTTAAATAAACCCTCTGTTTAGATTTTGACCTCATCTGTTGTCAAATTTAACGGGTTTGAGATCTAAAACTCAACTTTAATATAATTTTTGACATAAAAACTGAACCACGACGTCTGCGTATGAGACCTCTATTCTGATTTAATTAAAAGGTGGTGAAGTGAAGCGTAGCACCAAAATCTGAAGCCTTGACTAAAGGCTTAGAAAGTTCAAGCTCCTAAACTAGACAGTACATACACAAAAACTGTAGATTATGACGTCTGAATGCGTTAATGAGTGATATTTCTGGCTTGTTGTTTCCTCTCCAGGTAACATCGAGTACAGCTGCCCGGCCTCCAACGAATGTGAGATCACCAAGAGACGGAGGAAGTCGTGCCAGGCCTGTCGATTTGTGAAATGCCTGTCGGTGGGGATGCTGAGAGAAGGTCAGCAGTACACTGAAAACCACTTTCAGAACTTAAAAAAAACAACAGTTTGAGTAGCTTTTTGTGGGATCGATGGGACGGCGGACTTGGCAGGAGTTCAGAGCTCGTCCTCCAGACAGCTTCTTTATTCCTGGAAACAATAACCTGATTAGCAGCCGCGGCTCTGAGCGTCTAAACCGGCGTCTCCTGGAGTCGCCTAAACTGCAGTGAAACCTTAAACTCCGACAGTTAAACTCGGAGCCAGCTGTGTGCGCGGTAAACACGGCGCTACACAATGCACGCTCACCACCAACTATTCGGCTTCACTCATGTTCCTCTAAAATAGCCTCTGGACGCGAGCCAGGCTGGAGGTGTGAGCGGCTCCGAGGCCAGATAAGAGACGAGCTGCAGGGAGCCAATCACAACCAGGACTGGGTTTTGGAAAACAGATTTTAATTCTAGAGCAAGTCTGACACCAAGCCCTTTGTTCTGTGGTTAACATGACTGATTTGCTGTTTTCTACATCTGAGTTGTGGTCACTCATTAGTTCAGTTAAAGCAATTAAATACAGGCGCTGTCATAGATTACTGTAAAAACACAGTCAGATTCTGATGGCAGCATTTTGTTTTACTCAAATACAGTAAAACTGAAGCTTGTTTGGAGCCAAAAACGAGAAATTAGACATGAAATGGCAAAAACAAGACACGAAACAAGACAAAATGCCAAAAATGAGACACAAAACACCAAACCACAAAGAACAGACGGACAGTAACACAAAGGAGATACAGAATGACAAAAATGAGACACAAAATGACTAAAAACGGACACAAAACAACACACCAATTCACAAAAAATGAGACACAAAACAAAACAAAACAGCACGTATGAGAAACTTAACTACAAAAAACATGCAAAGCAATAAAAACAAGACACAAAACGGCAAAAAATGACACAAACGAGATACAAAATGACAAAAAAAACAGGTGCGAAAC